GACTGCAATAAGCAAACAACCAACTTGATCACTACACGGCGTAGCTTTGCGCGAAATTCATAGCAAACTACTTCAATTTTATTTGCCACAACCATTGCCTAACATCTCGTTACCTGGGCTAATTTTATATAAGTGTAAAGAACGTCTGAAATGCTATTTTTATGTTGTATAAACAAATTAATTAAGAGAGTATGAGGAAAAAAAATACAGTTGTGCTTATTATAATCATTTTTCTCAGGCCTAAAAGAACTTATTCCTGGCACGTATTACATATTTTCATATTGAAACAGCTTGGGCAAATGATTTTTCATAACACTCTATACACATACATAAATAGCTGACAACAAACTCACAAAAGTTTTTTTTTGTGCGCGTGTTTGTTATCTTCAAACCTGAGCGGTATCTTATTCGATACATGACCCCTAAAGTTCAGGCATAGTCATCCCTAATTTAAAACTGCTCACCATGGGGAAAGCAATCAAGCAACAGCATCTCTCACCTACGCAGCTACTCTGAATCGAATAAGGGGGATTGGCTTTCATCATTATAATGCTCTCACAGCTAAAAATGTGAAACATGTTCAGCGGCATATCGTGACTCAAACCCTAGACCTTTCGACCTACAGCACAGCAAACAAAGCACTAGATCACTTATGGCATCCTCAAAAGATAAGATTGTAAGCTCAGAGGCGTGACTCGCTGATTTTAATATCTTCTAAATTTATTGACTAAGACTAAGTAATATCTAATATAGTACATCGCTAGGGATCATCAGTTTCTTTTTGTAACTAATAAAGAAACTGTTTTCATATTGCTTTAACCCTACTTCAGATTATCTTCATGTTACAGTAATACTAATAATATTAGTAAGAATGATGGTGTTTCAGTGCAAGGTAGAACACATTTTATATGTTGTTGATTCTTGCGAACTGAATGTTCTGAGACGTGAAGAATAGCAAACAGAATGTTAATACGAATATTCCGTAATGTTAATCATATAAACTTCTAAACATTTTATTAGTAAGTGCTACTGATAAACTATTTTAAATGGCAAAACGCTCTAAATTAAACAGATAAAAAACGGGATATAATAACCGTAGCTTTGGAAAACAATGTATGAAGTGCGTACAGGTGAAGAAAGACCGCTAAAGCTGCTTTCTGTACTACAGGATGGTTTGTTACATTAAGCCACTCAACCGCTTCTGTGTTCTGAGAACATTCCCTCCCCCTTCTGACGTGGGGGAAGAATTAATAGCTCGTTCCATGAAGTGAGAAGTGGTCCAGAAAATCCTATTGAGTGAACGGCGCCGTCCATCACGAGGCAGCAAGCTGGCATTCCCGAATCTGAAACGAGCGCATAAGGTTGAATTGGCGGCATCAGACAAAGCACGTATCGGTGTCAGAAAAGAGATTTACAACTGATGAAGTAACACAAAATACAAATTATACAGAGAAGAAGCAAGTTATATATTGTATATACATGTTTATTGAAAATGAAGTATACACAATAAAAAGGTTATAAATCTGTTAGGTGTGCTTTTATTCAGTAAAAAAAGTGACTTTAATAACAGTTTTTAAATCTTTTAAATTACATCCCACAATAGAAGAATGAAACAAAAGTAAGTCGTACCAGTTTGAAACAAACAAGTCTGAGCGTACAATTCAAGCAAGATTTGTGCAGTTTTTACTGATTTTCAAACTAAAGTTGAGATAAATGGCTGGTTTTAAAGGTGCTCAATTTTGTTTCGGTTTCAAGGCAGAACACACTTTGAATTTTGCTGATTCATGCCTGTTGAATTTGATGTATAGCACTATATTTTAGATTAATAACCAGCAGTTTATATAACTTTCAACCAACATTGGTCTAGACTCAAGGTACGTGAAGTATGGTAAACAGAATGTTAACGCAACATTCCAGAATAATGCTGATAGAATGTGCTACCGACAAATTGTTTTAACTGGTACAGCTTTTAATATGAGATTGAATATATGGCTATGTGCACACACTGGTCTAGACTCAAGGTACGTGAAGTATGGTAAACAGAATGTTAACGCAACATTCCAGAATAATGCTGATAGAATGTGCTACCGACAAATTGTTTTAACTGGTACAGCTTTTAATATGAGATTGAATATATGGCTATGTGCACACACTTAAGAAAAATCATAGAATTAGAAACAAGAAAGATTGCTATGATTTATGTTAGGAATCAGGGGAAATCATAAAAGAAAGTTCTTAGTTATCTCTCTTTAGCCAAATTATTACAACTTAAGTTTGGTTAAGCCTATGGCCTATATAAATAAGACCAGATAATCTAATGACCTTCAGAGAGGGGAAGTTACAAGGCAAAACAACACCGATTGTGATAACCAGGGTGAAACACAGGTCGCAACGCATTGAAGGCCTGCCTACATCAAGTACAATTAGTCCTGACCCGGACATAACAAAATACTGCTACAAAAAGTTAAATATACCAACTTTGTTCTTACTGAATAAAATGTGTTTAAACGTATGACATAGATTTGTTTGAATATATATATATATATATTACTGTAGTTACAACATATTCACAAATTTAAACGTTACCTCTATTCGACAACAAATTGATGATGTTATTGATAGTAGGTTAAGAACTGTGTTCTCTAACAGTAAAACAATTTGGGCTAGAAGACGACCCTCAAAATTCTATAGAATTCTTAATTCCCAGAAGCAAGATAAACAACAACAACAACAAAATTTGACAAAACGATACCTTTACATGTGAAAGAAAAAATTGCCTAACTTGTTACACGAATTACTTGCGAAATAGAAATACTGTTATAAGTACTAAAGTGAACGTATTTTTAATAATAAATTTAATTGTAATGCTAACAATGTATTTTACGTTCTAAAATGCTCCGGTTCTGAGAATGTATGTGTTGGCGGAACTAAATCTAAGATTATGAGGGAATTTACAATGATATTATATCATGTTCTAAAAATACTAAAAATTGGCTCCTACTTATCAGTAAACGTGTATTTTCCTGCATTTAAATAATTGTAACAGCTTAAAAGAACCGAATTTTCAAGTATTTCCATTTTTATACTATAAAATTAACAAATAAGAGATTATTTTTAAAAGATTTTGAATATCATTTAATTACAATTATAATATCCAATAGAGGGCGAGTTTATAATAGCGGTAAAGTTAGTATTCTGCAATTCAACAAACTTGAACTATAAATGAGTACGTGACAAAAAATGCTATTACAAAGAATACTTAACAATCAAATACCTATTCGTAAGCATTATTTTGTAATGATTTTATCATTAAATAGTAATTAAGGGAAAAAATTTCTGCGTATTAAGGTGATGCTCACATTTTGATGGTTTTAATTTTATTTACGGATTTTATTTATATAGTGTACCTTTCCTGATTTTATTTTAGTAACTTATATATGAGATTAAACGTAATTGGGGGTTTGCTACTTTTATATTTATTTCTATACGTTACTTCATATACATAGTTTTATAGATTTGTACCACTAGAAGTAACGAAACCGATTTGATTCAAAATAAAATACGATTTTGCGATAAAAGACGAAGATTAAAACAGATTTTCACTTGTATACTAATATTCTTTAAGTAAAATCCTTGACTTTTGCTTATATATATATATATATATATATAAAGTTACATCATGTGAAAACAGATGACATAAGGGGTCTGTCTGTCTATCACCAGGCCATTAACCCAGATAGCAAAGAGGGTAGCATGCGCCTTCGAAATTTCTCTGTAAATTAGTACTTTTGATGGGCTAAACTCCGTTGTGAAATGCCATACAAATCTATAAAAAGGTGTTCAATGATCACCGTTGTTGAGAACGTTTCACTGTAGCCTGGATATAGCAGTAGCCACAGACTCATAGGATGAATTCATAATGTGTACACACTGTTGGAAACTATTGTAGTTTCAAAATTATCTTTTGTTCGTTTGACTAGATAAATCATCAATGCTTGAATAGAATAATTAAATTAACAACATTCTCGTCATTATTTCAATATTAATTATAACACTTGTAATGTTATAAATACTGTTTGTAAATGTCAACAAATATGTTTAAACCAATGTAATGAACCTTGAAATAACTGTTATGTTTTCTACAAAATATAAATGTGTAGATACGGAGGTTTAGAATATATAACTCTCAACATATGGTGTATATGAAACCCTACAAGTCCTGGAAGTGAGGGTTGGTGGGTGCATAAAAACCAACAAGTCAGGGGATGGGGAGAATATAGAAAATATGTAACTCCCTAAATAATGGGTCATTTTTGAAAATGTCGAACACGTATGTGTACTCTCTAAACAAAGGGAGCGAATGACCCCGAGTGTTTATCTAAATCAACATGAGAGCCACAAGTCAAAACGACTGAAAACCGTGTTCTATATATCTAAAGACTGTGCATCTTTGAAGATTATGTAAAACTCGGCAAGAGAAACTATTCTGATTTAATAATTATGATCAGATATCTAAATGTCTGAGAGATCGCAACTTTTACTAATATTAACTTCCAATCAAAGCAAGTTACTTATACAGATCAGAACTAAAGAAATCAGGTCAGTAATAATTATAGCTAATTTAATTCTACTATTCATAAACTAGTACTTCTAGTAACGACTAGAAAGCATTGTTTCATCAGTTACGTAGCCTCGCTGTTAGCGATGTAATCCGAATATCTCACGAAGTTTAGCCAGCTCAGAAGATTGAGGTTAGTACTAAATCCGTATATTAAACTAAGAAGTCCCCCCGGTGGGACAGCGGTAAGTCTACGGATTTACAACGCTAAAATATGGAGTTCAATTCCCCGCTGTGGTTACAGCAGACAGCCCAACGTGGCTTGTCCTACAAAAGACAAACAAACAATTTAAACTACAGTGTAAAATAATACTTATAACAAAAATACTAAAAGTAGATATATTGAATGTTCTAACGAATACTATAAATGAAGAAAGAAACAATAGAGTGTAACTTACTTACGGAACATATAAATACTAGTAATTTACTTAATTTAATATCGCAGATTTCATGTTTCGAAGCTAACAGTTAAAGTTTGTATGTTAGTAAGGTATTCTATTAAATAACGAACCACACATAGTTACTGCAAGTAAGTTTAAAATTCGTTTTGTGAAAAGTATGTTTGTTTGTTTGTGATTAAGCACAATGGGTACCGAAACTCGGATTCTAGCGTTGTAAGTCCGCAGACATACCGCTGTGCCAGTGGGGGGCATTTGTGAAAAGAGAAAAAATAAACGGTTTAGCGATTACCAGTAAAATATCTTAACAGAACTTTATACACTTAACACAAACACATGTACATGGAAGAAAATAACGACCTACTGTAAATAAAATATAAAAAACTACATGTTATTAAGAAAGTGCGGTATGTTCACGGACTTTCAACGCTAGAACCCAGGTTTCGATACCCGTGGTGGGCAGAGCACAGATAATCAAATATGTAGCTTTGTGCTTAGTTACAAACAAACAAACTAAGAATGAAACTTTTAAAAGAACAAGATTGGCTAAACCCTTATAGTTTGAGAGTGATTGGGAGAACATGTATACGAGCTAAGTTAGGGTGTTGGGTTGCGAATCCAATGGTTCGGTGTTTGATAGATGTCGCTGAATACGCTTTGCACTTTTAGCTAGGGGAGCGTTAAAAAACTGATGTGAATTTCATTATTTGATCATGGACCAAAATTAGGACTACTAGATATCGCGAATCGAGTGGGTTTGTTACTTGATCATTTAGTTGACCTGATAATTACTCATGAGTACAAGGTTGGGATATTATTTGAAGAACTTTAATTAGTACGATTTTGACATTTAGGAGGTACCAGAAAAAAAAATAAAGGCATGTAACTTGTGAAAATGGTGTTTGGTTTTATTTGTTGTTTCGCAGCTTTTGTTTTTAAGAGATAAAGCTATTTTTATGTATGTGTAGAACATTGTATGCTATTTAACTATTATTCCTTTCACTCAAACCGCAGTAACCGTAATTTACTTGTAACAGATTATACGTTATCATAAATAATATTGTTGAGCGCTGATTTTAATTTTGAGATAACATTACTGTGTATGTATCAATGAAGCATATAATTCATATTTGAGCCACTGGTATGATTCAAGCAAGTAGCATTAAAATCTGCTTGAAAAATATCTAATTAGTAATGAAAAGAAGCTAGTAATCTTAGACTTAAACTGTAAACATTAATATGTTAAATATATTAATTTTTCTATTCCAGTTGGGCCTAACCATCGTAAAATATAAGTTGTAAGCAAGAACTGTAGTGGCTCAGTTAC